TGAAATCGGTTACGTGTTGAATAAATGAAAATATTAAATACATAAAACTACATGTAGACTGGGGTTCCAAATAAAATGAGTAGATCAACGGGCCCCATTGTTTGCGACACTCAGCCAACTATCTGTTATCGCGACCTTTGGAGTCTCTATCCAGGAAGCCTAGTGCGGCTTATGTGAGCAAGTTCCCTAGTCAGAGCTTTCATACCTCAGCGCCAGGTCTTAGTTTCACCACCTTTGCCTTTTTCCAACCATAAACAACCTCTTCTACTCGTAAATTCATGGTCTCACCACTATAATGCAGAACTGAACGAACGGTGGGACAATATACACGACCTTTCAACTTGAGAGAAACGTCGCGTCTACGCCAAAGGTGTTTCAGTCCTGCGTATGCTGCTCGAGCCTTGGAAATGCGGGCGGTTATCTCTTTTGCTGCACTACCGTCATTGGTCACCTAAGTAGGAAAAGCAATCCACCATAACTAAATCCTGACCATTTAGATTCAGAACGGGAGTAGACGAAACCCAGTCCTGCAGCATCAATTTGCACTTTGAAAGTGCAAAGCACATACCGAATTTGGCTACTGCACTTAATGATCCATCAAATGCGCTTTGTGCGTGCTCCATACATTCCAACAAACAGACGATGTCATCGGCGTACTATAAATCGCACAGCTTTTCTCCATCTGCCCATTGAATACCTACGTTTTGGAGTCCACTTAGTGGGTTCTCCAGTATTTCGTCTACGACGACCTGTCACCCAAGGCCTTTGAATTCCGATTAATTGTGTTGTTCCCTGGCGCGTTGATTGTCGGTCCACTGTTCGAGATTAGCCCTTAGTTTTAATGAAACAAGCGGAACGTGGGCGGGGCAGTAATTTATTTGCTGGGGGCAGCCGCGCTTGAGCGGGCGCCAACTGTCCAATGAAGTGCGAAGACTTTCCCCATCGTCGAGATGAGGCCCCGGGTACCTCTCTCCGACGTCCATCTGGCAGGGTTTTGATCGGTAGACTGCTCCTCCCCGTGTTTATTTTCTGGAGTGGCCTCTTCAGGGTTGAAAGTGGATATACATAGGAAACCAGAAGGTGCCCAAGCAGCTGGTCTTGTGAAACTGAACTTCATCTGGCCTCTATTCATTTACCTTTCAGACACGATGGAATTTGCGCGGAGCCATTCTGTATAGTTTGCGAGTCATGGAGACGAACAAGCCATCACACCATGTCAAAGTGCAGTTTTATCTCGCGGCCTTCATCCACTTTGATGTTACGGTTTCTATTGATTTCACCGACTGGTACAAGTGATGAACTAAATGGAAACCATCGAGCATTATTTTCTATGTATCTTGACAGAATGCAACATACGCCCTGATTTCGGAGTCTCGAATCTCCACCCTGGTCACTCCAACCCAGCGACTACAAATAATCTCGAAGAATGTGATCTTTGTCAGTATTGCATTAACAGTGAGTGCCTGGTCTCCAACACCTGCTTTCAACAGTTCAGGAGAAATCTACAAACATGCTAAATGAGGATAATCATTCTGCGCACCAGAATAATCATGACTGACATCACAGACTGGAAGCCGTATGCCCTACCGTGGAGCAGAGACAGAAAACAAGAATGGCACTGACCTCACACGTATATGCGCACTTCTCAAGATTCACTTGATCAACCGCAGCAGAAAATCCACCGTGAATTTGATAAAATTTTGCTGTACATAGATTACCAATAAAGCGGCAAGTGGTTTCGGACACAATCGCCTTCAACCTACGAACAAAGTAAAACAACTATAAACAAACTCCGAAAGCCTCAGTATGGTCAGGGGTGGGTGTCTACGGTTGCGGCTGGTCACCCTTCCCTCGCACCTCACGTAATGCTCCCATACGACCAAGTGTCTAAAATTGTCTCTGATGAGGAAGCCCTACTCACTGCCTTCTCGTGGTGGAGGTGTTTTCCCACCAAAGTGAGATGACAAAAAGCCGACATGCGGGACTATAACCGGGTTGGCGCACCACTGGCGGTTCACCTAAGGAAGTTGGCCAAAAACCCTGATTCCAAACCAACCAAGAAGAGGCGTACGTACCACACTCATCCAAAGCATCTTCGATGTGGCACTGGTCACCAGCTCGATTGAGCATCAAGATTCATTCGGCACCTTGGACGTTTGACCCCGTCCGAAGGGCGTATGATCCGATGAACTGGACACCGGTCCCCAAGGGATTGCGGTTTTCACACATTGCCTCGCTGCCTTGCGGGTCAGGCTTTGACTAGCCAAAGGCTCCGGTTGTGGAATCCTCAAGAAAATGTACCTGCCTTGGCCTGGGCAACCTGACAGTATTGAGCCCACAAACCAATCATCGAACGTTTTTCTTTTTTATAAGGATTATTGTACCATGATTTGTCTGGAACACAGTATGGCCTCGGAAGTGTGAAATATATTAAAAATAAATTTCGTAACTCCCACGATCCTTGAAAATTTGCCTATAAGCCCCATTCATTCACATTAGACGCTGCTGCCCATGTAGTTCATTCTATTGCACTCGTTTTATACAAAGGTTCAGGTACCGCTTGTTTTACTTTTATTGATTATGAAAACGCCCTTGGTTCTCTCAACCGAAGAATGCTTCTTGAACGTCTTCCTGAGTGCGGTCTGACATCTGAAACCTTGAATGTGCTAATCAACTACTTCTCCCGTAGGATCCAGTTTACTTCATTGAATGGGGCACAGTCGTCTTCAGGGTGCTATTTTGTCCCGTTTCTGTTTTTCTTAGTACATACAGAATCTCCCCATTCCCAGTAACTTTATTGCTTGCAAGCATGCTGATAATATTGTGATTGGTTGCCTATTCCCTGGTTTAGACAATTTTGGACCTCCCCAAGACAGCCTTAATTAAGTTCACGATTAGTCTGAGCCCCTATCGCTTGTACTTGATACCAAGAAGTGCAGTCACGTTCCATTTAGTCTTTAAACCAGCCTGCGTTAATTTTTCACTGGTAAATAATTTCCCCGATCTTATAGTTAATAATCAAAGTATCCCCGAATCTGTTTCTGTTAAATACCCACCCATAACCTGTCCTGGTCTGCTTACATCATCTGCGTTTTTACCAAAGTTCGAAGACTATCATTTTACACATACAGGCTCGGAAACTGGCCGTCCCTCTTCAACTGTTTCTTAAATGTGTGATGGCATGCATCCTTCCACATTAGTTATACTGCTACCCAATATTTATCACTGGTCTAAAAGAAAAAGATTTCATTTTATTTTTAGATCCCTTAAACTTTTGTCCCGCTACAGTGGAATTGAGTTATTTTGGTTGATTTCTTTATTTCCAAGCATCTTGTCGCTTTTGATACCTTTATTAACGGGATAACATGTAATCGGGGGCACTGTCTGCACCGAGAAATCGTGAAAGCCGTGTCGAATTCCCAAACTCGCACCAAATATCAACTCCTTCCTGTGCGTACTTCCATATAATTCCATACCTTGCTCGGTTATTGGCTAATAGTAAGACAATTACCACCCACCTCTTGCACTATTTTTTCTCTCAATTAATACAGTTCAGTTCACTTTCGTTCTTTCAACCATTAACCATGCACTTTCGTGCGCCGGTTTTGGTTGCTGTCTTTTGGTTTTCCATTTGGATGAAACAGCTGAAAGAAGATTGGAATATAAAGAGAAAATTCAAGCGAAAGATAGAGCTTATAGAGACTGGAATTATAATAATAAAGAGTAGATGCATGAGCGCAACTGTTGGTGACGCTCAGCCACATCCCTGTGTCTCTAACCATGATCCCCGTCCAAGGAGCATAAAGGAACCTATGTGACTTAGTCTCCTGGTTAGGGTATCCATACTCTCATGCCAGGTTTTACTTTCACTCCCCCCCCCTTGATCTCTTTCCAATCGCAACCTGTCTCGGCAAATATCGCTCGCCGTGGTAACCTATCTCGTGAAATGCGTTAACACGTCCCAACCAGCGTAATCTATGGAGATCGACCACTTGCCCCAGTTGACGA